TAATGTGCGTAATGTGTGGTGTTGAGTGGATTGTTGGAAGATGTGATTGCACGTTTTGAAAAGATTCGAGCGTGTTTCGTCGTTGGATGATATATTTTATCCTAGTTTGCATGATTGTATATCGATCGAAGGTATTGGTATTTTTTTAAGATCCAATCTCGAAGAGAAAAGAATGTGAATCGAGTGGGATATTATAGTTGAGATTACACAATATACGCGCAATGTATATTGCACGATAAGCGGAAGTTTGTGTGGTTATATACCGGGTGTTGTGTAATTGATGGTATGAGAAGGGGTAGAAGATGATTTTACGCGAAAAGTGGTAAATATTTTTTTTATTTTGTTTTTGGGTAAATAGAATTGAGTGAAAATTTTTCAAATATAAATGAAATTCTCGATTGAATTATCGATAGTTATTGAAATAAGCAAATTTTTACTTATTATTACGTGTATTTGTTTTTTTCAAGTCAATATCTTTTTTGATATTATTTTTTCATATTATTGACGACAAATTAAACATTTAGGATGTCTATCGTTTACCTTACAGAAAGAAAATATTAATGCGAAAAATTATATTTTTTTATAGATTACATTTTTATATAGATTAAAATTTAATTGACATATTGAAAAATATTTGACGATTAATATCTCTTTTGAAATAAAGTTCAACTTAAAATATTTTTGGAATAATTTGAAAGAATAGAAAGAATAATTTGAAAAATAATTGTAATAAAATTTTTCAATTAAATTACTTTATATAATATAATAATTTAATGATAATATATTTTAAAAGTTTAATAATTAAAAAATTTAATAGAGTTTAGTATAATCGTAAACATTACGATTTAAAGCTTGATATTCATATATGTTCAATAATTTAATAATATAATGTATGTTTAATAATTATTTTTTTATATATCTCATTAACAAATAATTTCCTAGTTTTCTAATGTATCTACTTGTATACATGTATACAAAATATTTGCATATTTTCTGTTTATTCATTGCATAACTCAGTTATATTAAAATTGCATTAATTCCATTTTAAATCTAAAAAATTTTAATTAAAAAAATATTTATTTTTTTGAAAAAATCAATATTATTCAATTACATTCGTATATAAGTATTATAAATAAATAAGTTTCTGTAATAAATTTAAAAAATGGATATTGTTGTTTGCAACGATTATTATGTAGTATTTTAAAAAATTGGTATTTTTCAAAATAAATATAATTGAAAATATAAATTTTTCTATATTACATAGTACGAAGTTTGAAGAACCAAAAGTCTGATGACTATATTAGGTAAATTATATTAGGTAAATTAATGAATATATAGTAATTTAATGAATATATAAAGGAAAAATTGAAGATAAGTATTATTATGTATTATGGATAAATTAAAATCACGTAATACTACGAAATTTACAAGTTTATTTATGCATAATAAAGTTATACATTGTAAAGTTAAGATTTTATGAATTGAGAATTTGAAATACACGCATAATATGGGAAGCATAATGTATCATAACAAGTTTAATTACTATGATAAAATTGAAAATTATAAATTAACAATTTGGACTAGAGAATAGTTGAATACTAACGTAAATAACTTTAATTAATTAGAATAGTCTGGTAGTAATATAGTAAGTTCAGCTATTAAGTGGAAATTGAAATTCCATCAACTAAGAATCTGGAATAATGAGAAGTTGAAGGAACATAATATATTGTTTTCAATTAATTGAAATAACAGAGTACATTATTTGAGTTAGAATTTCAATTATTGTGGGGATTTATCAAAATTTGATAAATTATGCAAACATTAGAATATATATAAACATAGAATTATATTATTAACTATTATTACTAGCACATAAAGTTATTAGTCATTAAAAAATAGGAATTGTCATATAAATAATGGAATTTTAATACATTGGAATTATAATTGCTAAATTCGAATTAACAAGTTATAATAAATTGCAATCTTTTTCCAGTTGAATAATAAAAATTATAAAAGAATAGCAAAACAAAAAAATTATTTAGTTAAAGTTATTAATTTATTTTTATATAATAAACTTTCCTGTACATGTTTAAATCATTTTGAACAAATAACTTCATTATTTTTTTCTACATAATGTTATTGATTTCTCAAAGTCAAATTATCCTTTGATAACATTATTGTTATGATATTTTCATCTTCTTTATAATATAATTTTTGATTTATATTAATTGTAAAAAAAATCTGGAGTTCAATAATATTTCTTGTAAGAATTATTATAGATTTGTTTTAATATAAATTGCCAAATGAACAAGGAACTATTTCTATATTGTGAAGAAAATTATCCAACAGAGTATAAGATATTAACTATGACTGAAGATTTATCTTGAACCCTTCAAAGAAATTCATTCATTCGTTTCATTCATTTTCCTCATCTATCATTCAGAATCGATGATACGAATTAACTAAAAAACATTATGATACGTTAATTGTATTCACATTTAAAAATAAACTTATATTTAATGCTGATACATGTATCAAATTGTGTGACATACATGCAAGAAATATACAATATTATTCAAGATATTTAAGATATATTAAAAAATTCATGTTCGAATAATTTCTGACACAAAAATTTCTTCTTGTTTCTAATTTCTCTTTTAAAAGAATTAAAGTTCAATTAAATTATTTACTCAATACCAATTTTAACACATTTTTACAAAAATATAATATCAACACTTCTTTCACTAAGCTACAAAATATACTATACAAGTATAAATATATAACGCATTAATTTTCACAATAAAACAAAGAAGAAAAAAAAAGATATAGTTTATATGGATATTTATATAATTATCACAAACATATTAAATATTATCTCTCCGATATTGTCGGCATCTCATATATACACGCGCTTATATAGACACAAATGACCTATAATTCTCGCGTCTTCCTCTCCCATTCCAAGTTGGAAACTGTGCCGATTCCTGCAAGCATTCATTCGCTCCGCCACGTGTCACGGCTCGGACAGCTCTCGAAGGATGGGGTGGCACGGTATTATGCAAACAGTCTGCATCTCTCGCACGCACACAGCCACGTGGCCGTACATGCGCGTTCGATACATCGGTAGATGCCGTCGCGTTCGACCCATTTTCCAACAATGCTCGACCCGTTTATTATTAGATGCCGAGGCTCAGATACAGTGGTTGTCGACCAAGCCACCGGAATAAAGATGACACGAGGACGACAACACCGGCTCGTATCTCGCACGTTCGACGATGGAGTGCGATGGATCGCGCCGATGGTGGATGCTGGCGAAGCGATCGTATATTCCACCTTCTGCTGATTTCAATGATTCAAGAATCGCTTACGTCGCACGTTCTGCGCATGAATAACGAACCAATCTCTGTTGGGGGATTGTTTATTCGCCGATCTGATTCGATTAGAACGTCGTGGTATCTGGCGCGAAGACGTTACAGTTTATGAGGTGGATGCTTTATGAAAATTTAGTTTTTCTTTTATACCTGTGTAAGAGATACCTTTACGTAGGTGAAAAATGTATACTGGATGATTTATTCAGATTGGAAATGTTTATTTTGGAAATTGTTTGTAATCCATTTTTTTTTTGTAAATGATGAATGTAGAGAATATTACTTATTTGTTACAATATTGATTTAAATTTTTGAATTATTAGTGTTGGAAAAAATTATTATATGTATTTATTGTATGTTTTTGAAATGTGCAATTTAATATTTTGATGTGAGATTTTTAGATAGATAATATTTAAAATTTTTCCTGAAATCGTGATTCTTGAATTATATTATTCAAGGTTAAGTTTGTTTAAATTGTTTTTTACATAAAATCATGATAGATGAATTGAAAGAATTATGTTGAATTTCTGAAAAAGTATGTCAAAGAATCGTTAGTTTAAAAAATATTTCAATTTGAATTTTATAAAACTTATTGCATAAAAGACAAGAAATATGCAAAGCGATACTCGTCAATTTATGTTTTTTTTGTTTTTCGTAATCGTATGTTATTCAAATTAAAATATCTTCTGAATTAATGATTTTTTAATATAAATAATTAATTGAAGATATTAATAAATTGCAATCGATTACATTATATTTAGTAAAATTTCATTTATAAATTATCTTTGTTTCGAAACTATTCATTTTGTGTAAAATTTTTTTCAATATAATTTTCAAAAATAATTTATAATTTTAGATAATTTACTTTAAATATATAATAAGATGAAGCAAAAAGTAAACAAAATTCCTTTTTGTTTTCACGATTTTTAATAATGAACGAAAGTTTCTTTTCATACTGATATTTAAGTTGTAAAATTAATCAAATTTTTAAAATATCGTAAATTATATGTAAAAATTATTTTCATTGATTTTATATATTTTTTTTCAATAATTTAATTTTTGATTTCAGAATATATTTAAAAATATATTTAAAAAATTAATATAAAAAGCCCACTATATCTTTTGTACGATAAATTTGAAGAATTCGAGGCAAACTTTTTTTTTTAAAATTAAAAAAATAATTTTGATTTTTTATGATATGTAATATAAAAATCTAATACGATTTTATTTTTCTTTGATAAATTTTTATCGATTCCTTAAGAATAATAGAAATTTAAAAAAATATTATTACATTACGTATATTTCACACAACAAAAAAAATAAAAAATTCTAAAATTATTGAGCGTGAAACGATAGCAAAATTCAGGGATAAAATAACGCGTTATGCAACCAAAAAAGGGTACATAACCGCGTCAGTGGATTCGTAGACGACGTGTTTACAGAAGATGGACGGCGAGGAAGGATAAACCGTCGGCAAACACGTAGGTTCGGTGAAAAAGTATGTCATAAGCGAAATTCCGTTTGAGTTTGTTAGAATTGTCCTTCTTCGACGGATACGAGGGAAATAAAAGAGGAGGGAGGGAGAAGAAGGAAAACTTCCGTTTGAAAAATTCCTTAAAATGCACGACTTACCCTCCGTCGGTACACCTGTTCTCTTGGTCGAATTTCCACTCTTCCTTTTGGTTTCTCTCCGCTTTCTTCTCTTTCCGGTTTCTAAGAACAAACGAGAAGATACCATTTAAAGAAAAAACGTGCAACAGTTTGAATGATGTTTTCGCGAAGAAATGTGTGAAAAGTTGTAAAGAAACGTGTAAAAAATTGTTTTAAAACTTGGATCGTTTGTGTAGTTGATTTGGCTTGCGTTGTTGCAGCTAGTTTTTTTTTTAACTTTCTTTGAATTTTCGAATATATTCAATATATTCAAATATATCGTATTATTTTTAATCTTTATCTTTCTTCCACTTATTAAAATTTCCAATACAAATCAAGAGTGATAACTGTAATAATAAAGAAGAAAAGAAGTTAGAGGATAATAATTATTTTTTCAATTAAAAGTTTTTTTGTTATAAATAACGATTGTAATTGATGGAAAAATTTTTTTCACCGATAACAATTCGTGTGAATATAATACATGATAATCGATACTGTGAATTGTAAGTAACTACCTGTAAAAGAAATTGTATTTTTGTTGCTTATAAGTTACCTATAGTCGATGAGAGAAATTTATTTCGATTGTTTATCGATAAGAGGAATTATATCTCAGTCGTTAATAATGCATAGTTATCAATCAGATGAATTGTATTTCATACGTAATAATTATCGATAATAAAAATAAGTATATTTTGATTGTAATTATCCAACAAATTTTTAATTTTGTAATAAATTATATATAATTTCGTATAATATGATTTGTGTTGATGTATAAGATAAATATTTTTACTCAACTGATTATCAGTAATTTGAACTAGAAATTAGATTGTAATAATAAAATATAAATTACAAAGCTGAAAATTTGATTGATTGAATACAAGCAAAATAATATTTTTGTTATCGATAATTGTTACGTACGATTGAAATGTAATTCCCTTCATTATTAATGGTTATTGACAAATAATAAAATTTTCGGTCACTTAAAATCATTATTTATTACTAAAACGTTTTAAAATATTTTTTAATCGTATGAAATTTTTTTTGAAAAATTATCTATATATTTTACGATTGTTATCCCTAATTTATAACTAAATAAAAAATAAATCTTTGTTAATGATTATTTTATGAAAATTTTTTAAATAATTGTTATTTTTAGTTCCAAATTTGAACATGAATAAAAAATGAATAGAAGATATATTAAATAGAATATTACAATTATTTCAAAAATATTGAATCTTTTTGTAATGGAATGAGTTAATTGTTACAACCAGATATTTCTTTAAGAATAATAAAATAATAAAATTAAACAAAAAATTTCCAATATTTTTGTCACATTCATAAATGAGATATATAATTTAAATACATAGGACATTTTATAAACAAATTTCATAAATTTTTAATATTTTCATTATATTTATGAAAATGGAATATCATCTATTTGCAGATTATCATGTGATGGTTATGTGTTATATATATATATATATGTATGTCCTATATTATCGAGAATTTTTTAACAGTGGATTCTTTATATAAAAAACAATAAGAATTATTTATACAAACATATGTTCTATTTGCTCTTGTTTTTGAATTATAGCTAGTTTCTGTTTTATAAGAGTATTATACTTTTACGATGCTACCTTGTATGTATAGGAAAATCAGATATCGTCATCATTTGCTTAATTTCATTTTTTCCTTGTTGCATTATTAATAAAATTATTAATACAATAAGATTGAGATACTTATGTGATTTAAAATCAACGATATTGTAAATGCTTAAAGAAATTATATAATTATAAAATTACCATCAATATTATCTGTTTTATTCAATATTAATCAATCAATATATGATTTATATAAATCAATCAATTTATAAATAAGACAAAATGCACTCTCAAAAAGAATAAAGAATGAAATTAAGCAAGATGAACGTGAAAAGAAGGATTTTTTCAACGGCCATTTAATTTTTTTACAATTTTATTCTAAACAAAAGTGTCTCTTATGTACATATAATAGCATGCAATACAACACAATATGTATTGGCTGTTATGTTACTTTTATTATATGTATTATCTAACATTATCTTAACAATCTTTTCTTCTTACAAAAACGTAACGAAAAATGAAAAAAGAAATGGAGAAGAAAAGGATTAAACGGAGAAAATAAATGAAACTCAATTTCAGCGAAAAGAATCCAGATCGTTTTCTGAAACGAAACAATTGCCTCCAATTTCAGTATTGAACGATTCACGTCATCATAGATCACCCGCAGCCAAACGCGATATAGAAAGTTCTCAGAGGGGGAAAAGAATAGAAAGAGACGGACAAAGAGAGATAGAGAGAGAGAGAGAGAGTGGAAAAGAAAGACAGGGTAGAATCCTCGTAGGACCTTCGACGTCGATCGTCGCCACGTCGAAGCACGAGAGAGTTCAACGAGCTGGCTAATCGAAACCGTTTCTCGACTGCTAACCACTTATCTCGAGAGAAAGAGAGAGCCAACCGTAAGGAGGTCCATCATCTGCCCTCGTTTTCTCCTTTTGCACCTTTCCACGGCTTATTATTCTTCCGCCAAGACGCAGCCGTCGAGTGTACTCACAAACGACAATATTGCATTCAAAGCAATATCTTAAACTCGATTTCTTTTAGATTTATCATTTTTCGTTTAAAGTATGAAATGAGCAGAATTAATTTGTCTTTTGAAAGTCATTTTGCCAATTCGTTGCTTTTAAGATGGTAAGTTCGGAATCGATGTTACCGATTTTACCTCGTGACAATCTCTTCGACAATTCGTTATTTATAGATGTTTGAAAAACTTTATTTTTGAGTTTGAATCGAATTTGGTTCGGAAGTTTGCTTCGACGAATAAATTTCTATTCGAATAACTTCGATGAAACTTTATTTATTTGTAAAGTTGTAGTATAAATCGTGGTATCAATTAATTAACTTTAAGAATAAAAGTTAGTAATTTTATATACGATTTTTAAGACGAAATGAAAAAAATGAATACTGTTTGCTCGTTTTTATTGTACAAAAAATATAAAATAAAAAGTATTGAACAAATTATAATATATTAACATTTAACTCATATCTGTTACTTATAAAGAATTTTTATAATATGTTTCCAATAATTTTCTAATCATTGTCATAATTTTATTGATTCTACTCACATATATGATATATTGAAATTTTTCAAATTCAAATCCAATGTCTTTCTCACGTTCTACATCATAAATTCATAAGACAAAATATTCTAGAAAAATTCATTTCTATTAAGTATCATTTTCATTCAAGTTATATTATTAAACATTCAAAATAATTATTAATAATTATTAAACAAATTTTATATTTGCGATAATTTTGCAATATAGAAATAAAAATGAGTATTCTACCAATTATTACTCACATTTTTTTCACTTTTCAATGAAATATATATTATTATTTTAACGTATTCGATGTATTACATCAATTCCATACCGAACCACTGTAAATACATTTTATCAGATTATCTCTATTTACAGAAGGAAATAGACATTTTGTATACGTTTCATTTTAAAAGTTATACTTCTCAGATACGATCTCTTGATACGATTCACATATGAATGGAATATCGTGTAACAAACTATATAAATCATTTTAAAATCTCGTTCATTCATAGCATCCATTCGTTATGGTTGATATATCATGATATATTATATGAATATACAATTACCGAATATCTTGCACAAAAGAGAAAATGATAAATATAATAACAGATAAAAAAGATAGAATATATATATATATATAAAAAGATATTATAATTAATTATTATATTCAAATTGTGTTTTGTTTCGTCGTAACGAATATTCGTTTGTCATAGCATTTTAATTTAACGAGAGAGAGAGAAAAAAAGCATTCTTTCACAACATCAATATAATGATTATAATGACATAACAATTTTAAAGCTAATTTTATTAATAATTCTTTGTTTCTTTATCATTTTTTTCCTTCTTTTTTTTTTTCAACGTAAACAATCCGGTAAACAGGTTAATAACGACGAATGGAATAAAGAAACATTATTTAACTGGTAGTTGGAAACTGGCAAGATGGAAAGAGAATTTCTCCTTTTCAAAGTTAAAAACAAAGAGTTGAGAATACGAGTTAAGAAAGAAATAGAATAGAACGTTTCATGAGCCACGATACAAAAGATATTCCACTTCGCGAGTATTCGCATTCGAATTCGCTCAGAAATATATACAAAAATATAAGCGTGACATTATACGCCAATTAGAACACGCACTGCATTGATTTTCGGTCGATTATTTATCAAGGGATGGACGATATTATCCGATTCGGCTGAAAAAAAAAAAAAAATGGGTCACTTCTCTCTTCTTTTAGAAAAACTGAAAAACTTGAAATTCAACGGGCCGTGACTGCGAATAGATGCACGCTTCGACGGAAATTGTATCGAGGGAGGCAAGACCTTTTTTTTTTTTTTTTACGGGGACGAAGATGAATTTAATAGAGGTTCCTCAAACTCTTCCACCCCTCCCCTCTTTCCACTTCGTTCCTTCAATTTCCAACATTTTCAAGAATGCACAAGAGTGTTCTAACATAATTGCACGAGCTGTAACGAGGTCGAGCGACACTTGTGCCTGTTTTCCTCCTTAATGAATACGTTTCTCGATAAATCGACCGTTTCTTTCGAGGTGCATAATGTAACCTCATCCTCCTATCCGTCTGCTCTGCCGTCGCCCCTTCTTTTTCTCGATTTTACGATTTTTCTTCTTCCTTCCTTTCTCTTTCTTCGCGTCCTTCGTGTTCAATAATTGCTTACCGTGTATTCTCGATTATTACTTCTTTTTTCCTTATTATCGGAATGATGAAGGGCTCGTTGAAAAACGGAACGAAACATAATTTTTTTTCTGCGTGCATTATAATTATGCGACTTGAGTTCTCTGTATGCCATACAGAGTTGTTGTTGTTCAATTTTTCATTTTTTCATATTATCGGTTTTAGTCGATATTGTTACTCGAAAGCAAAAAATGTTTCGAATAATAGTTGAATGATATCAAGAATTGTATCAATTCT